ATAATTAGTGCCCTCTAAAGTGTGATAACATTTAAGTGATTAGTTACCAAGCACAGCTAACCAAATCGTCGTGATGCCTGCGTTGTGAGCTACCACGCATCATTCTTTGAAATGATTTTCCGCGCATTATCAAGACGGTGTGATATTAAGAAGCCAGAGGCCGTATTTGTCACTTACACATTATAAGAGGGTGCCGCCAGTCGGCCTTTTTCTCCGTGAATAGAACGGTATGGACTACTCATGTTAAGGATTGACGGGTTGCGCTGGACCACCACGGGCAATAGCTCAACGGAACCCAGGTAGCATGAATTGAGACATTATACATATTTATATCTTGACTCAATCTTTTCCTTTGGTGCGCTTATGGATAACAGCAGTTTGAACGAAGCCCACGTCGAAAGAATCTGGTATCTGTGCAAGGCCATGCCATACTGCCAAAGGTTGGCACATGGCAATTCGAGGACAAATAGTAGGATTTATCAAAAAAAATATTCCAATCAGTCGCTTGATCCATGATGGGAGAGTACTTCTTATGCCCGGGATGCCCACAGAAGGATTCTGGGGTTAGCGTTCGACAACGCATACGACCCGGGCTTTGCTTCTAGTGCAGCATCTCCATGACTAGACTGGATAATACGAGAGAGGATTTAGAAATTTTCAACAGCTCAAGGCTCGCATGAAGCCCAAATTCCGGTGAAAATTGGCGGCTAATGTCAGCCCGCAGGCCTCGAGATGCTCCAAAAGTTGGAGAATAGGCCGCTACCTTGACCGGCAGAGCCGACGTGTGCATACTCATTAGCTGGACACCGGGGATATTCGGCAAGGGCCGCTATTACTGCATCTTTTTGCTTCCATAACCTGCTGATCTAACCCGATAACCTCTCTACATCACCACATGCAAGCAGCAGTATGCTACTGCACCATGCATGCCGCCCGTGTCGGAGTTTTTTTGCACCACATGACAGCCTTCACTGAATTCTGGAAAATTCGTTCGTATTCAGCCATCCTCTGGCTGCACATGGCATGTCACCATGGATCAAGACCGCACTATCCGACCAGTCGCTCCAGTCATGATTTACACCTCAACGTGATAGGAAAGAGAGTATTTTCTCCTTCTCCTCTCCCTTTTCGGAAACAGAGACGGTTCAAAAACCATCGACCGTGCCTTTGGGCTTTTCTTATTCCAGACTTGTCCAGCTGTATCGTGGCTGTTTTGGCAGCAAGTGGTACATTGTGCCAAGGACCATAGGCAGCTGATCTATATACTTTGGAAAAGCCGTCAATTCGCCACGTTCATAATTCAAAACAAGAGGTAACTTCACCTGCAGAGGATGTATAGGCGCCATATCGCTCTCTGAGGCAGGGAGGCTCGTTGAGCGGGTTGCAGGTACAAGCGTGGCTAGCAGCGATGCATCCCGAGCAAATCCAAGACTATATCCATTTATTTATTCATCTGCGATTTGGAGAAGCATATCGCTATTGCTTCATTTTCCTTTATTCTTTCTTTTGCTCCGCGGCTCAGCTGGCAAACTCGATAACTACCGTGGCAGCCACGTCTTATTCTTGAATAACCAAGTCAACTCCACATCGGCGGCATTATGCCTTAATATCTGCGTTAACTCAGACCGCCTTTTTTTGGTCGATGTGCCATGGGAAAAAAAAAAAAAAAAAGACGTTCGTATAGATCAGTCCACCAGGCTTGAACAATCGCATATGAAATCCGCCGGCCCGCTAGAAGGTACAGCAACAGATAGCCATCACTACAGTTCCTCAAGTCTACAAACAAAGTGCGGAGGAAAGCCGACAAACCTGGTACCCGATGACTCCTTCACCGACGACAACCTCCACAAAGCGGGCGTTTCGGCCGGACGACTGGTGGAGAAATAGCCAGGCCGCCTATGCCACCAATCTCGGAGAGCTGAATTGATTGCCGGCCAGGACGACAACTTCAGCGGCACACAAGTTCGACCACGGCGGTTCTCGCCAATGCGTGTTCGCGTCAAGTAGCATCCCACTTTAATCGTTGTCGCTCCGAAACAGAAAAATAGAAAGGACAAAAAAAGAATGGCCCCTCCTCCTACCGTGCTCATCATAGGATGCGGCGTCGCAGGCCCCGTCCTCGGCAACCTTCTCAAACAAAAAGGCTACCATCCCATCGTCTTTGAGAAAGTTTCAGAGCTCGGGGATGCCGGCGCGTCACTGATGCTCATGTCAAACGGGTAAGTCAAACATTTACATACATGCGCCATCGAAGAGCAGCGAGACTTACAAACAATTAACAGCCTCAAAGTTCTGGAACTCGTTGGGGTCGCTGACAATGTTACTGCCGAGTCTACCCCTATTCAGCGCTTTATTGACTCAACTTCCGACGGAAAACTACTCGGTTCGTCAGATTTACCCAGCACTTTCAAGGACAAGTACGGCCATCCCTTGGCCGGCATCAAGCGTACGTCCATCAACTTGATGCTGAAAAAGATGCTTCTCGGCCACAACATAGAGCTGAGAGAGGGCTGGGAGCTGCTGGATATCAAAGAAGAGGAAAATTCTGTAACCGCCTACTTCGATTACGGAAGGTCGGTCACCGGTTCGTTCCTTGTTGGCTGCGATGGAATAAAATCGGCTAGCCGGAAGGCTCTCCTTCGGTCCAAGGGTATCGCGGAAGGGCCCCCTTCATATACCGGCCTCACTCAGGTAACTATTTTTTCTTTCTTTCTCCGTCTCTATTCTTGAAACGCCATTGTTCGACTAAACTTGTATTCCATAGACAGCAGGAATCTCCAAAGCGCCCGATTCGCTACTCAATCCTGCAGCCATGCGTAATTGGTACGCTGACGGAACTCACGTCATTGCCTACCCCATCTGCAAGACGCACATATCCTGGGCGATGACTCGACGAGAGACCGACGAAGCAGCAGAGACATGGCGGCCGTATCGACCAGAAGAACTCCCACAGCAGAAAAGTGAGCTCTGTAAGTTACTCGAAGGGTGGAACTCTGTGCTCATGGACATGATAAATGCGTCGGGGAGAATCATCAAATTTGGGCTTTTTGACCGCGAAGAGCTGGAGGCAGGCCAGTGGTATTCCAAGAGATGTGTTTTGGTAGGAGATGCCGCACATCCAACCAGTCCGCACCTTGGCCAGGGAGCAAACCAGGCATTGTGAGTCTTTTTTTTTCCTTCTTTTCTTCTCCACTTGTGCTACTCGATGGTCATGATCAACCAGCTAATCTTCCTTCTTCTGTTAGGGAGGACTGCTTCCATCTAAGCCAAGCTTTGCCCGACCTAGCTTCAGGCGACGCGCATTTCGAAGAGGCTGTTGCGGTTCTCGGGCCGAGTTTGTCTGATGCCATCTTCAAGCCGTATGCTGAGAAACGCCAACCGCGCACGTCGGACTTGGTCAGGGGAGCTCGAGCTGTGGGGGAGCAGAGAATTGCTTCCGGCGAGGAAGCATGCATGTTGCGAGACGAGTCAGTTATGAAGAAGTTTGCGGACAAAGGTTGGCTTGCAAGTCGGATGGATGAGCTTTTGCGGGAGCCATTCCAGCGCATGTAGAGCCCGGTGGTAGTGCCAAGTTGCTCATCCCTCTAGCTGTAAATATTCTCGTTCCAGACGATAGAACATTTTTGCATCATGTGGTTGGCATTTGTAGCTTAGACTGGGCAGGCAGGTGGAAATCCATCAACCGTACGGCTATAAATAGCTGGTCAATCACGACCTCGGTTTGCAAGGGCGCCAATTTGGCCAGTAGAACGTGTTGGGCTGATGCCGCAATCACCCAGCTGAAGAGAGTCTTACACGGACACGTTTTGCTGTCTCGTGGAGACGACCAGGGTTGACGACAACTCTAATAGGTGGTACGCCAGGTGTTTTACCATACGTATCATACGGCCATCGCACAAGACCATATCAGGCGTTGCAATAAAAGAAATGGTACAGAGGCATCATGCCGACGTTTCAAGATATTCCAGACACGTAAGATGCCCAAACAGCTGGGGAAGTTTGTAATACATGTGCTAGCTTTGAGGCCATCACGACATTTCACCGTCGGACCTCGTAACTCGTCGCGCCGCGTGTCAGGCAGACCAAGTTTCTCAACTTTAGAGACAAGGCCGGATCTCACTTACCATTTGTACTCCGTAAGCCGTGCCTGGAAATGAAATAGCTTTCGGAGACCGGCAGTCAAGAAAGTGGATTTCAATCTCAGGCCCAAGAACCCTCATAGCGGCCATACCCTTGGCCCCACGATGGCGTCGAAAATTTTCCAAGTTAATGACTCGGCCCACGTGGGCTTGCAGGCAAACCGTTTGTGGTGCATTCTACACCGTACAGTGGTGAAGACATCAACGAGGTTCACTCATTTGTCGACATGTCTATGCAAAAGCAACCCCATTAGCTGTGATCCGGATTGAGGCGGGTTACATATCGCGTGCAGTATTCCAAGCTGCGCTGCGATTTTCTCACAAACTCAATACCACATCGCCACTTCGCGATGGGCATCAAAGGTCGGACCCCGACACTTCCGTCGACAAATTTGCCCTCCTTGCGAGAGCTGGCTGTGTTGAGTGCCGCTCAGATTGGGGCCGCACTACGCAACTTGCATGGGCTGTACTGCCCGTTGCCAACGTCACTGGACTTTCAGACAGCCGGCAAGAGCCACTTAATAGCCACAGATTCCGGTTATGCTTCAGAAGCGGATGCCGACGGGGAAGATTCGCCCGATTCCCTGAGATATGACGAGTTTGAGCGCAAATTCGCCAAGCGTTGGTTGACTGGGTTCATTGGCTGTGCTTACGAGCTCTCGCTGGACGAGAGCGTCTCGGAACGTTTTGTAGATGAGGCATGCTCAATCCTGGCTTTCTTAAGCCAAGAAGTTGAGGATGAACCAGTTGAGGATGAAGATCTTGGAATGACCCGGGAGTTCATCTTCTCATTCAAGAATGAGAAAATCGCGAGCATCAATGTTGAGTTGTACGATACCCCGATGCAGACTGGAGAGGACCACACTGATGTCGGACTTCAAACCTGGGGTGCATCCATCGCGCTCTCCGAGAAAGTATCCAAGGAGCCAGAATTTTTCCGATTCACCAACGACAATCTCTCTTCAACTAGCCGGATCGTGGAGCTTGGGGCAGGAACCGGACTTGTCAGCTTGTTCTTGTCAAGACTCATTCCACACATCACCGAAGCTCGCCCAGCCATTTTCGCAACGGATTATCATCCCACTGTATTGTCAAACCTGGAGGCCAACATCAACTCGCACATGTCAAAAACGCCAGAGGCAGCCCCGATTCAGGCATGTCATCTCGATTGGTCCGCGCCGTCACGAGCTGCACCTCTCGACATGCCAGCAGACGTGCTCATCGCAGCTGACGTGACGTACGCCCCGGGACACGCTGTTTGGCTGCGAGATTGCGCCAGATCGCTCCTTGCAGACGATGGAGTATTCTGGCTAATGGTGTCTGTGAGACCAAATGGAAAGTTTGCCGGCATCAGCGACACTGTAGAGGTCGCATTCCAAGACAAGGAGAAATGCAGACGGCAAGATGGCAGGGTGCTAACCATATCAATTGTGCAGCGGATTGCTAAGAAAGACGAAGTTGGGCGAGCAGATGAAATCGGATACAAGCTGTTCGAAATAGTTTGGTCGTGAGGAGCTGCTGAGCCTGCAGTAACCAGTTGGCTTTTGCCGGTAGGGCATGGTGATGGCGATTTGATTTCGGTCAATTTCTGCGTGCATGCAAGCGTTTAGAACATAGAGTATAAAGTCATGAAAATTCGGACATAGAGAACCGGAGCACAATCATACAGGGAGAATATAGATAGCAATTGTCATCAGTTGGTCTGTAAAATGCGGGTGTAGGTGAAAAGTCAAAATGCAACCAACTGGCCAAGACTTGGTACCTGCCTACCTCGGGAGAGGCCATGGGAACGCAAGATCGACAGTGGAGCACCATAGTGGACGCTACCGCAGACTCGTCATCGGCTTGCAGACGACAAAAGGATTGATTTAAAACAAATGGAAAATGAAGCTCGTTTGGTGGGCAAGGGCACAGGTCGCTGGATGGACACTTTCGAATATTCAACAAGACACATACCCGACCGGCAGGCAGGTGCGTTTGAAAAGCAGCCAGCCGTCAACTTGCTTCCCAGCTCCTTCCGTCGCGCCCCTCCACAGCCCCTCAGCGCCATGGATTGCGCATGTCAACTGCTGCGGTTCTGGTCCAATCGATGCGGGGGGGAGCATCGGCTCCGGCTGTTCGCCCGTCGTAGTCCGTCGTCGACACTGCTTCATTGCTGTTGACAATGTACTCCGTACTGACCAGACAGTATTAGATACGGCTCCAGATCGTCCGTCAATGGCGCAAGTGTCCTCAAGCCCATGACTCCCTCCTCGGCGCGCCCAGTGGAGATCAAAGGAGGCACGAGACCAGCTCCTCAGCGCCTAAATCCACCCAGCTCTCCCCCATTGTCAACCTTCCACGTCGAGACCTCTCTCATTTTCATTCTCTCCGTTTCATAATCGCCGGATTGATGTTCATATCGTCCAGTGCAATGGCTCCTTCAATATCGTCCATCGTCCTTGAATAGATTTCTTTTTTTGCGCTGTCCTCCCGTTTTGCCACGGTCTCGGTTGTCCGACTCAACCAACGTCCTCTGCTCGCGTTGCTTCATCGTCATTCATCGGCATTTAACAGCACCCATCGGTGTAATTCTATGCAATGGCACGATTCTTTGATATGGGGGAGGAGGGCGACGACGGCGCCAGTCATCCGCCCGAAGATCTGATTACACAGACGTTGCAAGCGAAGAACCAGCTACAAGATAAAGGTGGCGAGCTCGCAGCGGCGCCCGCTGCCACATCGCACTGTTCAGAATCGATTGCTAGAGCATTTCAGTGTTATCCGTATGTCCATTGCTGGCCCTTGACAAGCTACAGAGCAATCGCCGTTCCATCCCCAGACCTTTCAAGCACTTGGCTAACACCTGCTCTACCCGTCTACTTTTGTTGTAGCATCATTTCCTCAATCGTCTCGTCCATCGATTTGAATACATTAGACTCTCTAGCACGCTCGTGTCGTTCTGTACACGACGGCCTCATTCAATACCGCAATGTGCTCGTCACGTCGACATTGCATTGCACCAATGAACAAGTCCCTCTTAGTCCCGAGGAGCTGCTTCGTTACCGCGCCCGTGCCAGCAATTGGCATTACATGGAAGACGGCCGCAACTACAACGGCAAGTCGGGCACCTGCGCTCGGGACATGGTAGATGAATGTAGAAAGTGTGGCGAGGTGATCTGCCGAGTAGGTCTCTTACCTACGTCAGCAAAGCTTGCCACTTTGAGCAAGCTTGCCGCATCACGCTAACGGCTGTGGCCCAGAACTGTTCAATTAAACCACCTGCGCCAGTCGCGCTTCGTGAAAGACATCGTAGGCTGTGCAGAACTTGCATCAAGGCGCCGATTGCGGCCTTGGCGATCCCCCGCCTCGACCCAGAGTTGCCATTCGGTTCGGATGCTGTGCAACAATCCCTTTGCAAATGCGAAAAAGCGGGTGTCTGGCTCTGCCAGCCATGTGGCAGAAGCATCCGAGCGGCTGACAATGAGTACCGAAGGTTCGTCTGCACATCATCCAAACACAACATCCAACAAGAACTCGTGTTAACATGACTGCGTTGCCCTAGTATATGGCGCTGGCGTAATCAGTATGGAGAAGTGCTTGGCGGGCTAGGCACTGGTATTGGTGACGGTGACCGTGGCGTCATTTGCGGTCGAGGAGAAGAGTGTCTCGCCGCCAAAGACCGCGAGCAAGAGATCGATTGCGATGCCCAGGACGCTCGTGAAAGTGGCACAGCCCCATGGGTCAATGAGCCTCCGGTGTGGACGACGACATCAACGCCCTCGCCGCCCGCCCTGGGTGTGTCTGACAGTCCTGCGGGATCGCCGTTTGGGCCAGCTACGCCTCTTGGGGCACTCATTGAAGAAGAGCGCCATGAACACACCCCATCGCCCCAGCTGGGCCCTGGCTATGAGCGGCATGAGATTGAGGGGATTGGCGGCAGAGTCAAGCGCAAGTTAGTCCGCATGGTCCGGATCGGTGCCTGTGTTCCTGAATGGGACGATGAAAAGGGTTTCGGTGGTCGTGTGCTCGAATCAGAAATCAAAGGGTGTGCCCGAAGTTGGTGCGGCTGGTGCTGGAGGGTAATTCCCGGCAAGAAGGACCTTAATACCGACAAGGCTTCCTCGTTTAGCGGTTGTGAGAACCGCCAGTGTGCCCTATGACGCGTTTATGAATCTCCTTCGTCCTTCCATCTTTCAGGCGTTATTTCATTGGGATCGACATGATTTGTGCAGAGTACACGCGATCCTGCTCGCGATGTTGTCTGTAATATCTGCCAGACACAAACTGCTCAGAAAAGAAATATATGGGAGTGTTGCTGGTCCCTGCTGTTAACGAATTTATTTGCAAAAAAAAAAGAAAGTAATTGGTATCCGTGCCCCATGCATCGAGATTTCTCTTGTACATGAAATGCCCAGCTTCCTCCTGGTTCTATTCACTTATTTCCCCATTCCCTATCCTACAATGCTTCATCCCCTCATAGTGTATAAATTGTACATTTGTTCCAGTCCGGTCGGTAGCGAACGGGCGGGGAAAGTAAAAATCAGGTGTTCCATCGCTCATGTCCAACGGCGATTATAACTGCCCCCGGTAGACAAGATCGGCTCTGCGCTTCCTATCCTCCCTCGCCTGCGTCTTCCTGGGACCCCATCTCGCCGCTTTCCTCTCCAGCTTGCCCTTTAGCCACTCGAGGTGCTCCTGCGGCGCCGGGGCCGCCATCTTGACAAACACCTCTGAGCAGTCGAACCTCTGCGCCAGCTTGCCCACGCTCCACTTGATGGGGTCCTCGGCGCGCAGCCTCCTCATCTCCGCGACGTCCTCCTCCTGCAGGTTGTACCGCGGGTTGCGGTGCTTGTAGCGCATCTTGGGGGGCAGGTCTGCCTCTGCGAGGGGCTGGGCGTTGGGCACCGGCGCGCGGGGGTGGTTGCGTATTCGTAGAAACGCCGACCTGCGCGGGTCGCTGGGCGGGAGGAAGAGGAAGGGCGTGTGGGCGGGCGAGGCTTCTGACGCGGGCGGGTTGTAGATGATGCTGTCGGCGGCGGGGGACGCGGCGGGTCGGTCGCGGGGGGAGGAGGCGGC